ACAACACCCCTAAACGATTCCTGCACCCGATTGTACCTGGTTGTGTGAACATCCAAATGTCTTAAAAAAAATCGTCTATGAGATTGAGAGATAACAAAAGAAGAGTGAAATCAGCAAAAAAGGCGAAGCAGAAAATGGAAACGATTCTCGCCCAGGGTACGAATATAGGGAGAAATCCAACCTGGGTGCCAGAGACTTGATGTGTCGAGGAGTTTTGAAGCAAAGATGATCGCTCTAGTTTATTGTTTATCTTCTTTTTTATTGGATTTATTCCGACGGCGGCGGTAATGGGGAGTCGGAAACCGGGTGGAGCAGCGCCACCGCCTACCAACAAATCCTCGATGTCTTCCATGTCTCCGGCGACACTGGTCCGTCGACTGTGTGGGTCTGAAATTGGGGAGGAAAGAGGCGTAGTAGCTGCGTATCAGTATCAACGACTGATGGTGCTTCACTGGTTGAAAAGCCCTAATCTTTTAAGCGGATGCACTTGTTGAAAGCAAAGTCCTTATTTATTTAGGTTATAAATCAATACCATGATTACAGGCAAATTACTAAATTACCCTTATTTATTTATTTAATTATTTAATTTTTAATTTAATTTTGATTGGCCCACATTGATACATACAATAACACAATACTTAGTTTAAACAAATGAACCTAACTCTCTCTCTCTCTCTCTCTCTCTCTCTCTCTCTCTCTCTCTCTCTCTCTCTCTCTCTCTCTCTCTCTCTCTATATATATATATATATATATATATATATATATATATATATATATAGGCACACACACACTAGTCGTTTACCCGCACAAAGCGGCGCTGAAAAATCGTTTGTTTCAGCGATTATGGTTTAAGGTATTGAGTTTAGGTTTTGTTTGTTGGTGCAAAAAACCGAAACCATTAAAGTTTAGTTTAATCTTTTGATCATAATCATTTTCCGTTCGTTGTTTGGTTAAAAAAGTAATCGTTTTTCATTTCTCATTCGGTTAAACAGTTTAATGTAATGCCTGAGTATATGTATGAAGGTGTAGCGTTATCTTGTATGCTCTTTTTGTGGGACTCTTCCTTTTATTGATGAAAACATTCCTCATTTTTCAAGAAAACTAAGATGTGTCGGTTCAATAGTTTATAAAATCGCATTTATACCCCTCTTCTTCTTTCTTTTAGGATGTTGAAATGAAATTCAAGAAAGATAATTTTGCGTATGAGATTATCTATAATACATTAGATTGAGGGTTAGACTCAACATTTCAATTATTTGACTCAAAAAACTACCTAATTATAGTATTTTAATTTATTTCTCCACATGGACCATTACTATTATGTTTTTCCTGCCACAACAAGAACCAATTATGCAATCATTTTATGCCACAGAGACCTATTTTGTAATTTATTTCTTGCCACATGGACCATTATGTAATCTTTTTCTGCACAATGACTAATTATGTAATGTTTTTCTACAATAAGAACCAATTATGTAATTATCTTTGGCCTACTTGTGTAATCATTTTTTGCGCAAGGATATACTTTGACAAAAAAATATTTGGTATATCTTATACTCTTAGAGTTTTAGCAAAAAAAAAGAGATGCAACTGATTATTTATTAACAATAAAAGGGCTAAGCACATGGATAAAATATGTATGCTAAATGAATTGGCATTAACTACAACTGTATGGTATAAAAAACCATTATAAGTACAATGCTATTATTTGAAAACATAAAGTATAAAATCATGTCAAATATAATGAAAGTACAACTATTCTGATCTGACAGTTAAAAAAATACATTCCAAAATGCAATTGATCTCTTTTTTCATATCATGTTCCCCACAACGGATAGTATGATTCAATTCCTTTCATTGATTCCATCATACAAAATAGCTTTGTATACCATTGACATTTTTATAACTATATCGGAAGAACAAGATTCATAGTAAAAATGAAAGTTACATGCTGTTATTATAAACCAATGAAGTACATTGCCATTTGGAACATGTTCTTTAATATAAATTATAAATTTACTTATGGGTTCTCCTCATCTGTTGACAAAAGTGTGAATATGGTCTCTGACAAAGAGGTTATATTCAACACCAAGTTTAGTTACATAAAAAATCGAAAAACTTATCAATTTATTTTTAGAATCTGGAAATGCTAATCACAAGAGTAAAACAAACTAATTAATGGGAGTACATTAACTGCAAGAAATAGCAACGTATTTTCATCATTTAGCAACTTACAAGTTATAATAAACAAATTAATGAGAGTATATTGCTACTAATTTCATTCACAAAAATTAAATGCAAGAAATAACAACGTACTTTTATTTATTAGTGGATTATAACATCATACCTTCATCTTATTCTATTACAACATTGTACTTTTTAAAGTATAATGTTGCAACAAGAAGAAATGAAAGTATGTTGATGTTATAAACAAACTAATGAAAGTAAGTTGCTATTTCTTGTATTTACCCAAAATTAAATGCTAAAAATAGCAACATACTTCCATTTGTTACCAAGAAATAGGAACTTTAATTACTTTCCCTTATGTCACAGCCAACCTGAATGTTGAACATAAAACTTTAAATAGGAATACATAAAACACGAATATTTAAAGAAAATTTAGTAAGCTTGCTTTTAAATACACATGTAAGTATACTAATCATCCCTTGTTCTGTTGTGCTTGTTACGACCTTTTTTCCACATACTAAATTTGGAGGTGGAAAAAAGACATCTAAGCATCATTCACTGTAAAAATACCTCAATGTTTATGGGTCATTTCCTTTCACACACACATCTGTTATTTGATTTTTAAGAACAACAACCACCATTCTTTCAAACACGTTGTACATGAATATTAACAGTCAAATGCCCCAACATAGCCATCTGTATTTATACAAGAAACATAAAAATATAAATAAGAAAATTATAATACAAATTTACATGCCTAGGGTATGTTTATGGTGATAAAGATGAGACTTTTAGAAAAGAAAACCATTATCTCAAAAGTGAACATGAATAAGGTTTCATTCCAAAAAAACGATCTTCCAAAGCTTAACATCAGTAAGTTTAACTTTCGTGTAAGTATGCATCACTTTTAAATCTGTAGGCACATCCGATTTTAGATCTTGTCTTTCGTCTTCAAAATTCCCGAAATCCAACATCCTTTCTCTAATTTCATCAAAAGTATCAGCTCCTTTTAAGCATAATAAAAGAAGATTAGAGACATGAAACGGTTACACTCTTATTATGTTATTTAATAATGTTACCCTGCAAAAAATTTGCAAGTTACCTGAAATTTTTTATAGTTGCAGAAAGTAGAATCTTAAAAACGACTTTAATGCAGGAAACCATCACAACGGTGAGACGACTTTCAATTTCCTTATCTTGCTTCACATCAAATAGATGAAAAGGAATCAAGAAACAATATAGATCCAAAACTTCTTGGATATCTTATTAGTATACAATATGAAGATAAATCTAACAAAAAGGAAATAACAAGCTAACCATGATCCATTTCCTCGTTTCGTAAAATTCCTAAATGCCATGATTTTAGAGCTACGACCTTAAATAGGATTCAGATATGTGAAAGCTCTAACTTCTGATGTATGAAAAAACATAAAAGAAGATGAAGAAACATAATTAACATCAACAATGCTCGCCAAAACATATAATACCTGATAAAAATAAAGCTAATTTTAGCCATGTATGGTGGATAAAATTAAAAAGAACACATTCATAGGTCAAAACATTAGTGAAGTTGTACGCGGTCCAAATAATTTACCTGATGTATGAAAGAAAAAGGCACATGACCTAAGTTATGATGTATGAAAAATCACAGAGAAATAGAAGGAAACATAAGCTAATTTCATGCCTTAGCATCAACAACCTTCTTCGCACATCTCCCAAGAGAAAACTTCATAAAAACCAGTATAAACATACACACACACAGAATAGGTGGTGGTGACGGAAATGACCCACCAAGAAACATACTCTGGATTTATCTTATTTAACTCAATGTGAAATTGATAGAGAAGCGGTATTTCGTGGCTACAGATAGACAATTATCGAAAGCATATAAGGCGAGCCCTAACTTAAATCGCTAGAGATATATGGAGAAAGTTGGTTTTGATTTATTCCAATCTGATGAAATCGGAATCAAAGCAAAAACCAAACCTTCACAGTCCAAATACATTTGATAGTGATTGTGTCGATGGAAGAGGGGAGGACGGTCGTTGTGGGTTTTGGGGAACGACAAGGAGGATCTTTTATGAGAGAGATGAATGGATGTGGAGTAGAAGGATATAGGGTGTAGATGTGGCTAGCATTAGTTGCTTTGTGTAACATCTGGAACCGTAAGGTACTAAATTCATTCATTGTTGCATTTTGAGGGCCCTCACGATGTGAGATCTTAGGGGTCACGTCGTGAGTGACCATTGAACCATTGACCCGCATCTTTGGAGTCTCAAGACGTGAGACATAAGATCTCACGACGTGAGCGTGTCTTAATGAACCAAAACCCTAATTTTTGGGTATTTAATGGAATGAGAGGCTAGGGTTACTGTAACACCCCGTTTATTAAATAAATAAATAAATAAGTTAATGAGTGTATAGTAGCCCTAAAATCAATAATTATATATAGCAAGGTGTAGGTCTCGAGGAGTTAATTGTCAAAATTTTAGAAGGCAGGGACTAAAATGATAACTTCCGGTACTTAATTTGAAGAGATTTTGGGAGCTAGGGCTTAATGGTAATATATGGACTTCTTTTGAAAATAAATTGTAAGGGAGGGGCTGTTTAGTAACTGTTGAATTAATTATGAAAAGAATTGTAAGATTAAAGGTGTAATAGGTAAATATGGGGGCTGTTTTGAAAAGGTTCTTATGGAAGAGGGGCTAGTTGTGTTATTATGGGAAAGAGTATTGGAGGCGTCGGGTATATATGCTTTACTTAACCCTAACCCTAACCCTAACTTGTTGCATCAGCCGCCGGGTATCACCCCTTCAGCCGCCACCACCCGTTTTTTTCACCCTCCGGTCACCCATGACTGCCAAACGACCGCCGACTTCCTGCCAACGTCGCTGCCGCCATTGGAAGCTGTCGACTATCCAGTTCCGCCGTGACTTCCATCGCCTGCATGGGTCATGATCAACCAGCCGCCTGTCGCTGCAGTTGCTATCGCGTGGAGATGCGTCTATCGTAGAACGTCGCGACCTGCTCGCCGCAGAAACGAACTGGGGAGGAGCCCCGACCGTTGAAGAATGAAGCCACCACCCTTTGCCATCTGTTAAGGCGTTAGTGCCACTCCGAGTCCGATAGCCGCCATTCCCGCTTACTGCCTTGTCGACTTATACCACTGTCACATCCCCGCTACTGCTATTGACATTGAGAACGGCCGGTTGGTCGCCGAGACTGACGGGAGGAGCCGTGAACGAGGAAGCTCCGGCCATGAACGAATGGAAGATCCCCGGTGAGGCTAAACCGTAAGCTATTTCCTCCAGTCTTTCGTTCCTTTTGATTGTACCGAGTCATCACCGCCATTTGTTGTCACCATTCCGCCACCTGCCGTCTGCTTCCATCCTCCGGCGCCACCGGCCACCATGGAAGGTGGTTGTGTGCATGTATTACTATGTGTTTTAGGTGTGTGTGTTTGTATTTCTATTAGTTATGTGTGTTTGGATGTTTTGGTTAGCCGGAGTTCATGGAAGAGCCACCGCCACCACGTGCCACCACCGGCCACCACCAGGGTGGCTGTGTGTGTGTGTGTGTGTTATTTTGGATTAAAGCTTTGTAACTTTAATTAGCAATGAATAATGAAAAATAATAACAACCACCACCGTAAGGTGGTGGCCGCCGCCGTGAACCGCCGTTGACCACCACTACCCGAGGTGGTACTGGGTGGTGCCCCACTAGCAAAACCCTAATGGGCTTACAGATTAGTTTTGGGCCTGTTGGGCCATATTTTGAGTGGGAAACCCTAATTAGGGTTTAGAAAACCCTAATTCTTGTCATGTGGGCCTTGGACCTATTGGGACCCACTTTTGGGTCATTGGGACTGGATTGTGTATTAAGCCCAAACTACTCCATATCGTTATCTAGTAGAGAAAAGGACTTAATGGATTAAGTCCTTAATGGGTTAAGTGAGAAACATTTAACCCTAATTGTCATTTTATGTTAAACCCTAGTTTCACTTGGACCTTGAGTTGGGCTTTCTATTGGGCTTTGATGATTGGGATGATAATGGGCCATCCAAGAACAAGCAATTGGGATAGAATAATTTAATGGGCCTAGGGTAAGACCCATGTGAGGGTTTGGTCCCAATTTGGAAAATTGGGCCATAGAAAGGCCATAGTTTGGGCCTTGATGATTATGAGATGTTGGACCATGAGAATGGCAAGTGTTGGACCAAGAATGAATGATTGGGCCTTAAGGCAAGACCATGTGGAGGTTGGGCCCAATTTAGAAAATTGGGCTATAGTTGGTCTTTGGTCCATTATTAGACTTTTGGGCCTTTGGATTGGGCCTTGGGCTTGAGTCAAGCTAAGATAGGGGTAAAGTAGTCTTTTACCCAAGTATGGACTTATGGTTATGAGTTGGAACCCAATTATTAATTGGGTGTTATTTTGAAATTGACAGATTAGGAATCTGTCATCCAACAGCTATGGTTTTGTCAACAGGACTTCAACAGTGTGAGGTGAGTTTCCTTTTAGTAGTAACGGGTCTACGGCCACAATGCCGATGCCGGGATTAGCCCAATGCAGTTTATATGTTTCCGGACTTTGGTCCGATGTCGGTGCGGTCCCGAGAAGTAGTTTAGTATGTTTGATGTCTTTGTGATTCATGCATGTATATGTGTTATGTGTTATGTGTTTCGGGGTAAGCCCGATGTCGGGGCAAGCCCGATGTATGTTAGTTTACATGCTATTTGATTATGTGTTCCGGGGTAAGCCCGATGCTGGGGCAAGCCCGATGTATGTTAGTTATTATGCCATGCATTATATGTTTCGGGGCAAGCCCGATGTATGCTAGTTTATATGTTATGATTTTATGTTCCGGGCTTCGGTCCGATGTCGGGGCAAGCCCGATGCAGATCATGTGATTATCTTATGTGTTTATGATATATGTTATGTTGTGTATGTGCCGGGGTAAGCCCGATGCCGGGGTGAGCCCGATGCCGGACAGGAGTCCGATGTCGGGTAAGCCGATGCCGGGATTCGTCCCGATGCAATTGGGAGTAGTCCTAGAGTTATATTTATGTTATGTGTTTATGTTATATGCATTGTTGATATGTTTATACGTGTACCGGATTACTGTCCGATGCCGGGCAGGTCCCAATGCAGTGGGCTACGCCCAAGTTATGAGATTATGTGTATGGTATGTGGTAGTATGGGGAGACTCACTAAGCTTCGTGCTTACAGATTTCAGTTTTGGTTTCAGGTACTAAGTTTTCAAAAGAGGAGCTCAGGAAGATTAAAGTGCACACACCATTTGTTCAGCCTAGGAAGTTTATACTCTGATATACTTGACAGTTGTTATAATATTTTGACATACATTCTTATGATTTTTATATGATGTTTAACGACTATGGTTTTTGTTAATAAATTAAAACGAAATTTTTAGACTGTGTTTTTGGGATGTTCAAAGTTGGTATCAGAGCCTTGGTTTGAGGGATCCATGCATGCTTTCGAGTATGTCTAAACTCAAACTAAGGATTGGTATAGAAGTTATCAAAAGAAAAACCATGTTTATAAAAAGGATTTTGAGAAAGAAAGGAGTTTTAGAAAAAGCAAAAAGTTAATTTTTGGAAAACAGAGAAAAGGGTGTGGTGCATGCAATCGACCGAGCTCAAGTAAGTACTCCCAAATTACCCATACAAGTTTATGCTATGTTATGATTATCAGTTTATGTAGAACAACATGCTAGATTAGAGCAAAGGATCTAGGAAGAGATGCCTTGTATGCTTTTATGAGCTAGTAGACTTGCATGCTAGAATTGATCAGCCAGGGGTGCGATAGCCTGTTTAGGTTATGCCTGATATTTGTGTATGAGCTTTATGAATTGCATGTTAGTACAAATTCCTGAGTAGAGGATAGAATAGTTTGATTGGGTTATGTGGTTAGTTTCCATTGTCCGAATGCTGCTTGGTTTGTGCTTTGTGGGACTTCTAGTGATGTGAGTTAGCTAGTAAGTGAATATGCTAAGTCACATGTGGCACAGGCTGGATAATCTCAGAGTGATGGACTTGGCCCTATTGCGCAACTCTTTTTTGAGTCCAACCGTTCTAGGGACGAGTCTTTTACTTGAAGGATTATCTGATCTCTATTGCATGTGGCTATGTGTAACGCCCCGGTTTTTCTCGGTACGTTTGGTTATTTTAATTTAATTATCCTTGTAACCTTGGGTTAATTTATTTAACCAATGTCTTATTTCTTATGTTATTGGACTCTTTTGATCATCTTGTAAACTCCTTTTATTGAAGTCCATGGGCTATGGGCCTATTTGCAAGTCCATCTAGTAAATAGTACTTAATGTGTTAATTGAGTCATTTGGAACACACACAAGAAAAACACTCTAAACCCTCCATCTCTCTCTCTCAAATCGTCCTCTCTCTCTTTGGGATCAAGAGCAGCCAAGGGGCTGTTGTTTGGAGCTTAATTCTTGTTCATTTCCAGCCTTGATTCGTATTGGTATGAACCTCCTTATCATTTCTTACAACTTGATTCATAACCTTGTTCTAGTTTTATGATTTCATCTTCACTTCTTCTCCTTCCTATTTGATTTGTAATTGTATTATATACATCATCTCAATATCTTATCTTCACCCCATATATGGTGGATGATGGATCTAGGGGATTACATGTGGCAAAAGATCATGGAAACCCTAAAAGGGAGAATGGTGATTTTATGTGCTTTATGTTCATTTTCATGTTACAATCTTGTGGCAAAATGAAATCCTAATGATACCTAACCCTTTTTAGTACCACCATGATCATGGGGACTAAATTGGGATGATGAACACATCTTAAAATGTGTTTCAAAGGGAGAAGGATGGATAAGCCAAAAAGGAATCACGGGTGGCTACGATTCTGTTTTCCATCAGATCTGTAGTCATTTTGTAAAATTCATATCTTGAGCTCTAGAACTCAAACGGACCCCAAACCAGTTCCAAACGTTCACAAATTGAGTTGGATAACTTTCTTAAGCAGGCCAACCTCACTGATAAGGACTTTATCTATGGGAAAGAATGGCATATTTGTTGTTAGGTCTGATCCGGTTCTGTTCTGATATGTCATTTTGTTTTCATCATTTCTAAGGCTTGGAAAAGGATCCAGAGTGATTCCGAGTTTCTATATGTTCCTTATATTATGAATTTAAGATCTGGAGCAGATGGGGTGTTATTTCCAATTATAAATTGGTTAGAATGGATCCACACTCCAGATCAGTGGGCAGTCACCAGCTTTTGCTAGTGCTGTGATTGTCCACAATGTGAATTTTATATATGGAGTTTGGGAGATTCTTTTCATTAAATTCCAACTCTGAGACTTTCATTTGTATGTCCTTTACTTCTCTTAATTTTGGTTTGGACTAATTCTACTCACAAGTTGGGTAGATTTGGCCAACATCACTTGACTATATTGTTGGAGACAGAAGTGATACACCATTTTGTAAAATTCATATTTAATTCATCTTTTGGAGTTAGAATGAGTTCTTTATAGTTGTGGAATCCTGAGCAATCATAGTTTCCTATAAAATTTAGTTAAAGCTATGTTTCTGTTTTAGATTTTGGAGTAAATCCGTTTTGAACAGCAGGTCTGTTTTAGAGACCTTGCTGTGATTACTCTTTTCTCAACTCATAGCTTCATTACTTCTCCTTTCTAACCTTTAGTCCTTCTTAGGTGAGGTTTTGAAGTTTGCTCAAGCTTGGTAGCATTATTTGATTTTTAGATATCCTTACTACTCACTCAAGGTGAGTTCTCTCACACCGTTGTATTGATGTTTGCGTTTGCTAGTTAGCTCGTGTGTGATTATTTGAATTTATTATAAAGGCATGCTATATAACCATTGTTTTAATTCGTACATGTGCACTGTATGTAACTAATTATGGATATGGGGACACCACCAAAGGATACGGATTTACCGGTGCGGTGGGTAGGTAATATCACCAACGTAATACTCATCATGAGGTGCGGTGATTAGGGCCAAATGATACGGGATCTTCCCGGTGCGGTTCAAACCTACAAGTCCTTCTTGTATTATAGGCATTGATTCGTTCTTTGCCCTTATTATACAACTATAATTGGAAAATGGATTAGGGTTAGTAAATATGAATGTTAGTACAATGTCTGTGTTTGAATTCACTAAGCTTTGTGCTTACGCTTTCCCTTATAACTTTTCAGGTGTTAAGATTAAAGAGGCTAAGGCTTGACATGGAGCACCGGGACATCGCTACTAGTTATTTTTGTTGGGACCTTATTATTATTATTACTTCCGCACTTATTTTATATGATTATTAAGTTGATGGATTATGTTATGACTATTTA